GGAAGAGACTCCTGCTTCAAGTTTGTGGGTGTGGGGAGAACTCACCAGTTGCTTTTTCATGAGCTGGATGTTTGCCAACAAAGAGACACAATGCCCTCAATTTTAAAATAGTAGCCCTGCCAGGGCCTCCGCCCCAGAGAGCCTGATGTAATGGTGTTGTTGAGGATGCAGGTGTCTGTGCCCAGGAGCACCTGAGGTCAGCCAGGACCAAGCTATGTTCCGTCATTCTCCTGTGCACCCTTACCCCCTACGCATGCACATATGGCTTAGGAAGACTTGGTAAGCTGATTAGATGGGACATGAGAGGAATGGACAGAGCTGTCACTATGCTTCATGGTCATTATGACCAAGGCAGAGGGCTCTGAAGTGTCTCCATTTTATGGGGGTAAAAACTGAGCTCACAGGAGGTGAAAGGCTGGTAGGAAGGGCTGGATTCAGGTCTCCAGGGGTTGCAGAAGGTCTCCCTTAAGCTGTCCTGCCTGCCACTCTCAGTGGGGATAGCTGTTGGGATTCCTGTGCACACTGTGATCCCACCCGGATTCCAAGTTAAAGACAACTAAAGGTCCTCATAATCTCACACATGACATGCAGATGCTAGTCTGAATTGACTGCTCATTCCTAGCCCTTTCTTTAGCTGCGCTTTAGGTTTTAGAAGGTGGACATTTGAATGCACACACCTAGGATTCCTTCTGCTGCTTAAACAATGAGCATTGTGCAGCGGGGAAGGCTGAGGCCATTAGACACTGCTGGAGGCAAAGGCAGGGCTTAGAAGGCTGACGTCATTAGTGTGTATTAATGACCCCCATCAGCCCCTTTCTGCATTCTCTGCTTAGAGATCTTGCCTTCTCTGGCTTGATTCTCAAATGCCTCCTGAACTTGATTGTCTTTTGTATCCTGATTTCTGTTTCCAGTGTCCCTAGATTTTGTCTATTTCTTATTCTCAACTTAGAGAAATTTTAACAATAAAATGTCACCACCACCACCAATGTCATGTGTTTCAGTCAGCACCGTAACTCCAAAGAATGGAAATGGATTAGAGAATAAGGTCCAATCACCCTTCCCATGAATCAGATTGTTTCAGGTATCAGAGATCCTCTGTCCACTTGTTGATCAATGATTTGTGTAGACACAGGTGGAGCAAATAGTTGGTAGTTTATTTTTAACTTGAATCGTCGCAAACACTTTTCCATGTCATTAAAGCATTTCACAAATTATTATGTTTTGAAGAGTGTATTCGGAAATGTTTGTTAAGTTCTCTGTTGTTGAAAATTAAAGTTCGTAATAGCCGATTGCTGTCACACCTGCGGGTGCTATAAACATCTGTGTGTGTGTGTGTGTGTGTGTGTGTGTGTGATTTTTCTTTTCGTGGAAAACGTTTTGGGCAGACTCTCAGCAGAAAGATCATTAAGCCAAAGCACAAAGTTTTGGAACTCTGGACACACATTGCCAAATTGCTTTCCAGTAGGGTTGTTTCGGCTGCCTCCATGAGCTGGGTGGACCTGCCAGCTTCACCAGAATGCCATCCATGCTGGGTATTAGCTTAAAAACTTTACTTCAATAGAAATGGCCTCTTGTTAGCTTTATATATTTGTTATCCTTAGCAAGGCCCGGGTTTTCCTTCATCCGGTTGTTTCCAGCTCTTTGGCGCTGCTCCAGCACATTCATTACTTTCCATGTAAATGAACACCTTTCAGATAAACCTGCTCGTACGGCAGCTTCACCTAAACTAAGCGTGCTTTGACCCTGGGCTCTGTGCACCGCTCCGCATGTGGATGAGCGAGGTTTCGACTCCTCGTAGCACGAAGCCCTGGAAATCACCACACTCAGCCTTAGCCCTGGACTTAGGCCTGGTGCTTGTCCTCCTGGAGCTTATGAAGAAGGCGCAGCACTTCTTCAGAAAAGCTTTGATACACATCCTTAGCCTATTTTTGGGCTTCCTAACTAAAGAAGAAAAGTCCCCTGTGTCTCTTCTCAGTTTTCCTGCAGGTTGTTTGTGTTTCTAGGTGCCTTTCTCTGGTTTCTTCTTGCAGCCCCTTCACCACATCCCGTGGGGTTGTGGCTTCTCCAGCACCTCGCGTCTCTGGCACCTGCCGCCCCGCGCTTGTTCTCCGCCTCTCACTCTCCTCCTTGGGAATCTGAGTTCTTTCAAAGATGCCCAAATGGATTTTAAAGAGCTTTGATGTCCCTAAGGAAAGCAGAATGTGCTTGGATTTGTGCAAAAGCTTCCATGGCACTGGGTCGGAAATATAGGATGGGAATTGGAATTTCAACTTAAGAGTTGCAGAGTCCTGGGGTTCAAAGAGCCCCAGAGATCATCTCTGTCTGTCTTCCTCAGGCGGGACAGTGTGCTAGCGGTGATTGCTGCTGTTCACACCCTCCCTGAGATGGGAAACTTGTCTTTCTTGTTAAATAAAATCATAACTGACAGAATTTATCTTCTTTACTAAAAATAGGATTTCTATTACAAAGGACGTGGGGACAGCAAGAGGGATTTAGGAATGGCCTCGTTGGAGTGGTTCGCAACCCTCGCTCTTCACAGTATTTGTTCACCTCTGCCTGTCTGGATCATGCTCCTGGAAACTCATCTTGCCCATGTGTCACTAGGGACAAAATAGCTGCCTTTCAGAATCAGTGATCATGTGGAGAACCCTTCCAGGGCTACGCACTGAGGAAGTCAGGCCAAGTGGCTCTGCGCAGTGACTTCGCTGGGCCTGATCTCTTCGGTGCCCACTGCTTGGGCTTCCTTCCTTTGCTCAGGCTGATGCCTCAGCCGACAGCTGACCTGGGGTCACTGCAAAGCATTTGCACTTGAAAGGTCATTTTCTTCTCTCCTTCCTGCCTTAGGGAAGTCATGTGGCAGTGTAGACCCTACTTTGGGGACAATTTGAGACCTGAAGGTGACTTTGGACAGGGTCTGACAGTCACATGGGCACTGTGATTCCTTGCTGTGGAAGGGCTGATTCTCTTCCTCTGTCTTACTTCCCTCTGTCCTGGTGTTCCTTAACCTGAGGTTTTCCTCCTGCCTCTTCAGCCTCAGAAGCCATGGCCATGTGGGCCCCTGGCCTGATCTCTGGCCAGCTCAGCCCAGCTTGGCACTGTGGCTCTGAGGAGGGCACTTTGTCCTTAGGGAAGTGTACCACCCTCTGCCTAGCTTTGGACCCTGCCTCCCCTTGATCGCTGTTGCTCTTTTTGTAGGCATTATGGCTTCCTTTGAATGCTTAGCCACTGTACCTAGAGCCCAGAAGCCAGAAGTCCCAGCATGTTAGGCCTTGGCTTGGGTGTACCTGCTGTGGTGGGACGGTCAAGATGTCCCTTGCCTGCCTCTGACCCACTGTATCAGCTGCCATGATTTCCCGGTAAGCATTTATTCTACTGAGCTGTCTCCCTGGCCCAAGTTGCCGTGATTTTCTTGCTGTCTGCAGCCTTCAGTTTTTTCTTCAGCAAAGTGGCAGGATGAACACGCAAAGTTTTTGTGAGAAGCCTGCAACCTAGGATTTTGGCGATTTTGGGTGTTTGGCTTAGGTCCCAAGGATCTTAGGAGCCTGCTCTGGGAGATGCCTACACTTCGCTCATGTCATGGAAGAGGCCAGCGCTCAGAGAGGTACGCTGCACTCTGGGCGCTTCAGGTTGCACAGGAAGGAAGTGGTGGAGCCTCTGGTCTAGGGCAGGTAGCTTGCAGCAGAGCCTGTCCGCTCCCACGCCGAGCTTCCCTGCTTTCCTGTGATATGTGACTGACCTTCCGGCTGGTGCTCAGGGCTCGGCCTGCCCTAGACTTTTGGTTCTTATCATCTCTGCCTGCCAACTTCGGTGACTTACCTCAGCATTTGGCTTTCGAGGTGGTTCCAGCTCAGGGACATGGGATCAAAGGCCAGAGATGTCAGTAGTTTTTAGAACACCCCATATTACCTAATAAACAGCCCCAGTGACGTCACCCGCTCCACCGTTCTCTCGGGTAAGCATCGTCACACCTTTGCCAGTGCCCTCGTTGTTCGTTATGTGCACAAGCCCAGCTTTGCTCTGCCACCCCTTTCCTCTGTGTGCCCATCTCAGCATTTCCTCAGGAGTGGAGATGCTGGCTGGGTTCAGTGGCTCTGAATGACTGTGGCGCTGGGGTGCACACATTTCCGGCAGAGAGGTGGATGTCACCGTCTATGGTTCTCCAGGGATGGCTCTGCTTCTACGGTTGTCTTCCCAGAGTGCAGCCTCTAAGCACCTCCCAAGGTGACCACTGCTTTGGGAGCCTGGTGGGCAGGCTGTATGAAGCAGCTGTGACAACACAAGGGGACTCTCACGTTGCTTCTGAGGCGTGAGTGTTCAGCTGTCACTTGCCTCAGTGGATCCACAAGCCTGCTGACTTCCTGTCAGTGTAAGATCAAGTCTCCCCTCCTCCTGTTACGTTCAGTACCCCCGTCAGCGCTGTCCATGGTCATGATCCCCACTCATCATGATGGATGCTTCCCTCACTTTCCACCTCAGGGCTATCACAGTGATGGGGTCTTGTTTACCTGGTTCCTGAGGAGCAGAGTGAAGACTCAGTTTGTAAGCAGTGGCCTCTTTTGTGCCTTCCTCTGTTCTCTCCCTTTTTTCAAGCCGGTGGTCACAATTCACCCCTTGAAAGAAGTTCTTCGTGAGTTGCTTCATTGTCATTGTCATCGTAAATGTTTCTGGAAAACTGTGACAACTTACAAAAATTAATAATACAACAAATCATTGTTATCCTTGCCTTATTGGTAGCAGCTGTGGGTGTTACTTCCTTGTTCAACAAATGTGTGGATCCTTCTATTCCTTTGTCCGTGCAGCCGGCATCTAATCACCCAAGAGAAGTTAACGTTTTCTCCTGTATTAGGTGCTGTAAAGATAAGGTATTCTCTACCTCAACAGTGTGAGAATCACGCACGCTTCCAGAGCAGCCTCGGTGCTTGTACACTATTTAAAGCTGTTGCTCACAGCCTAGACTTTTAAGTTTAGGCTTCAGCATTTCGGTCTGTATGGTACTCCAAGGATGCATTTCTGCCTGCGGACGTTGTTCATCGTACTGGTCCAGGAGCCCGCATGCTGGCGGCACATGCTCTGTGTGTCCATTGTAAGAGCCGTCCTGGTACATGCTGGGTGCCCTGGGAAGCCGATGTCGATATATACATTAGCGAGCGGGATATTTATTATGGGATGCCTTTGTGATCAACAGCTGTGAACCTGGAGGAGAGGAAATCGGGATTGGACAGAAGGACAAGTGGAGCTGTGACAGAGTCCAACCAAGGACAACTCCCAGAACTAGGCTGACCTTTGGCAGTTGTCCTGCGTTGGCGTGGGGGTGGGGGTTGTCACTGTGTTCACAGATTTGCCCGGAGAGGTGCTCATCTTGGAGCAAGGTAATGCTGTTCAGTGACAGCCATCTCCAGAGAGGCTGTTACCTTTACTTTAATGGCTGGGTGGATAAATATCTGCCCCGTTCCCATTTTGTTCCCTGTGCTCAGTGCACAACAAGCACCCAGGATTTGAGGGAATGAACTCCCGGAGCTGGATGGAAGTGGTGTGGGAAATTCATTCACCAAGTATTGACTGTTTTGGCAAAGATCCCTTGAGCTTGCATTACACGTCAGGCAATATTTTTGCTCTTACACTTTAGAGGTTTTGAGGTGGGTGGTGGTTCGACATTGGCTTCCTGGAAGAGGCAGCTTTCATTCTGGGGGTGCGACTTCCTGGACCACAGGTTTGGGGCCACCTTTGGGCCCAGGGTGTCCTTGCTGTTTAGAAGAAGGTTTATTGAGATGAGGAAGTGAACAGGCATGGGATGCTTTCCCAGGGAGGGGAATCGCCACCCCGGCCCACCTGTCAGCGCACCTGTCGCCGTGGGAAACTCCGTGCTGCACTTGCGCTTGCTGAGGTCTGAACTCCCAAGAGCCTGGAACTTCCCCGGGCTCACTGACTTTACATCACTTGAGTAACTGGAGAGTGGAACTAAGTGGAAACACCTCTATATTTTTCTTCTCTGAGTCACTGAAAACTACAACCCAGCATATACAGAACCACTGAACTTTTTTCCCCCCGTATGTAAATTTACTGTCATCTCAGTTCAGGAAGTAGAAACTGCACAGTGAGGGTGAGATGAACTCAGTGAAGCTTAGCTCTGAGCAACGTAAGATTGCCCAGTTCAGCCTTCTTCCTTTGCAAGAGACCCGGTGGGGAAAGGACCGGCCAAGGTTCCCAGCAAGTGTGGAGCAGGACACTGGGTGTGGCACTCTGAGAAGCCCTTGCCTGGGTTCTGGACCCCTCCTCCCAGCACAGGGAGCTGCCTCTCCTGTGCGGTGGGCTGTGTTTATCTGCACGAGTCACCAGCATGATCAGAAAGGATTTTACCGAAAGCGATGGCTTTGATGTTCTGGGTGACAAGACCCAGCGTGTCAGTGGGGTTGGGGTGGGGTTCGGGGTGGGGGTGGGGCAGTGGAGCTGCTCGCCTTGGCGGCGGCTGAGTCATTTACAGTGGGAGGATGTTTATGAGTGAAAGTATAGTGCGAACGTAGGTACAAAAAGGAAAGTTTGAGGTACAGACCGGTTAGTGACATGCTCCCAGAGGCTCTAGGAAAGTCTCCTGGGAGGTCACCCCCAGGAAGCTGCGTGCTTCCCATGCTTGCCGCATCTTCTTTTCCATGGGGAGCTTCACATAGCACCTTATGGCTCCGAAAGCACCCATTACCTCCTCTGGTCCTCACCATTCTGTCCTTGGGCCTTGTAAGGCATGTGATGCGAAAAAGGAGTCCCTGCCATGGTCCTGTCCTGGGGTTGTCACAAGGGAAGCCCTTGCACACACCCTTTGCAGCTGGATTGTGGCCATCGGGGTTGCCTGGGGCTGGGATTTTGCGATGGCTTTCACCACATGCTGGAGGTTAAGGGACGTTCAGACTGGCTCCTAGCTGTGAGACCTCACCACCCTCCCCCTGGAGGTGTCATGCACGGTGCTGTGGCTCCTGGGCTTCAATCTAGAGACGTGGTAGCGAGCCTGTGGCACACACCGCAGCAGGCTGTCTGCGTTTTTAAAGGCTCTAGGAGGTTTCCCATTCCTGGTCTAACTTTTCAGCTATAGAAAACAGGAGCATCTGCAGTGACGGCCAGGCAGCAGCCTCCCACAGCTCAGGACTCACATTGCCTCGTGCCCACAGCAGGCCCAGGCAGCAGCCAGGCTGATCTCTTGTTCCTCTTGTGTATTCTAGACAATCCAAATTGAGCGTTTTGAGTAGATACCTTAGTTTTCTGTTGCTATAATGAAATACTGGAGACTGGGTGATTTATACAGGGAAAGAAGTTTATTTGGACTCCGAGGTCTAGGTCTGCAAGTCCAGGGTCAGGCAGCTGCCTCTCTTGAGGGCATCAAATCATAATGGAAGTCAGAAAGGCAGGCACAAGCGCGGCTCTCCTCGCTCTGTAACCGCCGGCACTTTCTGGTAAGTAGAACAGTCCCATGAATGCAAGCAAGAACTCCCTTGTCATTGTGAGAATTAATTTAGTCAAGGGAGAAAAGAGTTGTCCCTCTCAAGAACCCAATAACAGCCCGCTTCTCACCACCACCACACTGGAACCATATTTCACCCTGGGTTCCAGGGGACACATCATACCAAGATCACAGCGGTGAGTCACCCAAGAGACACAAGCTCCGGAAGGGATAAAGGGTGTTGAGTGGAACCGACTGCTCGTATCTGTCCCCTACTCCTCCTTCCCTTCCTAATGACATGGTTGAGGCCAGCTTGTTGTGTCTTCTTCCAGAGATTGTGTGTGAGTGTGTGTGTGTGTGTGTGTGTGTGTGTGTGTGCACACGTGCTGAAAACATGTACCGGCCGGTACTGAGTGCCTGCTGTAGATAGTGCTGCCCTAGGTCCTGGCGGGAGTGTGAGGTGTGACGGAGAAGTGTGATGTGCTCAACTAAAAGGAAATTCTTACAGTAAAAGGTGTTGGCATGAATCCCCCACCTCACCACTGCTCACTTCACCCATAACCTGCCGTGCTTGCCACACTCGGAAGCACTTCTAGAAATGCTCTGTAGTGAGCGCCTGCACTTCCTGTGATGCGGCTGCCTTGGGTTGTAAGCGTTTGGCTTTCCTGGACATTTTGGCCTTGAGGAAGAGCCAGGGGTTATGCTGTGCCAGATCTGCTGAGTCAGATGGATAGGGCATACCACAATTTGTGCAGATTGCTTTTAGCACCAGCATTCACTCAATTTTTTTTTTTTTTTTTTTAATGCGGAACTGGGGACTGAACTCAGGCCCTTGCACTTGCCAGGGAAGCGCTTATTCCACTGAGCCATCTCCCCAGCCCATTCACTCAATTTTTGATCCTGTCTTTTAAAGACACTCACAATAGTGGACTTCCAGAGCTGTGTCCAAAAGCAGCAAGAACAATGGGAAAGATGTGTTCAGACCGAGGGGCAGTACCTTCAGGTGGCAATGCGTCTTTTGCTGTGATAAAAATTTTAACCTTAAGCAGTCGTTCTATATTTTAATCGTCTTTGGACACAAAGCAGGGAAACGTGGGCTGGGCTCCCCTGCTGTCTGCAGCGGCTACAGGTCTGGTCTGGGCACCTGCAGTTGCTCTGGCCTCAGCGAACCCTGCTGAGTAACCTGAGGCCAAATCGCAGCTCGCCGCTTCGCCAGCCTGCTTGGCAGCAGGAATGTGTCGTGAGTCCCGGTTGCTCATCCTGCAAGCCTGGCCGTGGGCGCTATTCGAGGCAGGAGCATCCATTATTTCTTTTTGTTAGAGGGACAGGACAGTGGTTTATTTTAATTTCAGTTTTATCTTGGCTGTTTTTTCATGCAATAAATCTTACCATTTGTAAATGAGATTAACATGAATTTTGCTAGAAAAGTGTTTA